CACCTTGTTATCTCTATATTTTTGTTAGCATTTTAATTAGCTTGCTGATCTGTGATACTGATACTGTTTTTAATGTTAGTGTCATAGAAACCTACAGCACAGAAAAAAAAATCTCTTTGGCCCATTGCATCTGTACTCGTCAAAAAGTTGTCACCTAACCATTCTAATCCTACTTTCCAGCACTTGGCCATAGCTTTGTATGCCTTGGCATTGCAAGTGTATATCTAAATACTTCTTAAATGTTATGCCGGTTTCTGTCTCTACCACCCTTACAGGCAGTGAGTTCCAGATTCCCAATACCCTCTGGATGAAAAAGTGTTTCCTCATATCCCCTCTAAAGGGTAAAGGACTCTTGCTGTCTACCATGTCTATGCCCCTCAATCTTTTACATCTCAATCATGTGTCCCGCCCTCTTCCCCTCCCTCCCAATCTCATCTGCTGCATGGAAAAGCCCAGTCTCCAGCTCAGGCAAAATCCTGGTAAATCTCCTCTGCAGCCTCTCTAGCGCTATCACATCCCTCCTGTAATGTGGGTTCTCGAACTGCACATTACACTGTAGCTGCAGCTTAACCAATTTTTTAATACAGTTCCAGCATAGCCTCCCTGCTCTTAAACTCTGTGTTTCAGCAAAAACAAGCAGCTATCCCGTATGCCTTCTCAACTACTTTATCCACCTGTCCTGATATCTTAAGGAAGCTGTGTACACACATACAAAGGTTCCTGTGATCTTCTGTGCTTCCAGGGTCCTACCTTTCAAGTATTCACGTGTCCTGGATCCCTTTGCTATTCTACTTGATCCAACTTCCAAAAGGTGTAGAGAATTTTTTTCTTGCCCTGCGAAGTTGCATTGCCTTTCATTTATGAATGTTGAATATTCATTTGGCACATAACTACATAGTCTGAAAGTTTACTGCTGCAATTTCACGTTGTATTCTTTCTCCGTCTTATTATTCCTTCAGTATGGTATCATCTGCAAATCTTAATGGAGCTATTCATTCCTAATTCCAAAATCATCAATATAATTATTTTTCAATTTTTTTAACTGACATTGCTGGCAAGGCTGACATTTATTGCTCATCTGAAATTGCCTCTGAACTTAGTAGCTTGCAAAGCCATTTCGGATGCAGTGAAGAGTCAATTACATTACTATGAACCTAAGTGAAAGGTCAGCCAGACTAGGTAAGGATGGCAGATTTCCTTCCTTAAAACATGTTACAAAATAATGAATAACTAAGATCTGAGCAATGATTCTTGTGGAACACTGCTTCCTTAATCTGAAGAAACAGCCTTTTACCCCAAAATTTCTATTATTTTTCAACCACTACAATGTCCATTCAGACTCCACAAGCCCTAAACTCTGTCATAAAATTATTAAGGGACCTTATCAAAGCTTTTTGACAATCTGACTACACATCTACTCCTTCTAATATCATTTCAAAGAATTTTGTTTATTTAGTTAAAAATGACTTGGCCTCTTAGAATTGATGGATATTTTGATTTGAATTGTATTTCCTGTGTCTGCTTTTGTTGCTTTTACTGTAAATTCTGATACCTTTCATGTCATTAATGTTAAGCTGATTGGTGCACAGTTTCCAGGTTTTTGTTTCCTTTCTTTATGTAAAGGAATCTTAACTGTGATCCTCTGGCAATACCTAACCTTTTATAGAACTTGTGCATGTGTACACACACGCATATAGTTCTCTTGACAAACATTAAAACAGCAATACTTACTACTCCATAAGTTGTAGTATTGCCAATGTTTTACCCTAGATATTCATTAATTCCAGGAAAACTGGAGGTGGAAGCTCTGGTAGAGTGCGCAAAGTGCTGCATGTAAACACTTCACATGTGACCTGGGGGTGCTGATTCTAGGTAGCTAAAATTGGAAGCGATCATAGAAACATAGAAAATGGAAGTAGGAATAGGCCATTCTGCTCTTCAAGCCGGCTGCACTATTCAACATGGTCATGGTTGATCATTCAACTCAGTATCCTGTTCCTGCTTTCTCCCTATATCTTTTGATCCCTTTAGCCCCAAGAACTATATGACTTCATTGTATCTATATCTATTTCATTGTCTTGAAAAAAAAAAAAATCCATAGGTTCCATATCCAAATTATGTCATCTCAGGTGGGGCAGTAGCAACAATATATTACTGGTCAAACTTGTGACCGTTTGATTATGAAACATGGGTTCCTGTCTCAGTTTTTAAAATTTTTCCATTAAAAATATCAAAGCAAGCATATTATTCTAAATCACCAAATGTATAAATTACCTGTATACTCAATAAAAATTAAAAATTAACAGAAAAGACAAACAAATCTGCAAGCCTGCTTCTAACCCCTAGCTCTTACCAAAATTTCTTGTGGTTTGTTGAAATCTGTTGTTAATGTATAGTTAGAAGATTTGTTTCTGTTGAGACTGCTATACTGGCCAACAATATCTGCATTAGATAATGCAGCACTTCTTATGTTATCCATTGCAAACAGGAGATTCTGGTTGAAAGAACTGGTTGAATTATCGATGGTCTGATCTTGTGGATTGTCCTTTCTTTTCTTCAAAATATCAGTCTCAGTCAGATGGTCTAACAAGATGGTCTTTTCTTCAACATCACCCAAGATCTGGGACTTTCTATAATCTAAAGTGGATTTTACAGAATCGTCTTGACTTGACTGGTTAAACCAAAACAAAGAAGATGGTTTCTCTTTATCATCACTGTCTTTTATCAGCGAGTGACCATGATTTGATTTATGCACGATTGCTAGTTTTCTACATACTCTTCGACAACTAACAATTCAAGAACAAGACTGTCTACTGGTCAGCAGATGGAGAAGCTTAATAACTCTTTCAGGAAAGGAACAGAGGTAAGAAGCTTAGGGCTCAATAGTTTTAAGCACTATCTAATTACTGCAGAGCCAATACCTGAACAGAAACAAATCTCATTTCAGCAAATCTGCCTAATGAAATGTGCCATACTTCAGAAACAAGAAATAGCTTATAAAATACACTGCAAGAAGTGACAAATAACTAAAGCATTATATTTACCAGAGTCAGTCTCACTGATGACTGATTCATCACAAACATGCATTTGTCCATTCTTCTTCCTGCAATACACAGATAAGCAAACTTTCCGAATACTTTATAAAAGCATAGTGGTCTTCATGTCTAATCAATGCAATACACAAACTGGCACTACTGGATACTGGGTACAAAAATAAGAAATAAGATCAGCCCTAAACATTACATTGCTTTCTTTCCAAATGTAATACATGTAATACAAATGTAATACCAAATTAAAATATTTACATTTAGACGAATTTGCTATTAATAGCTAGATATTTACATTTTTAACAGTATTTCTCCCACTTTTCAGATTTGCAAAAACATCCTTTAAAGTTAACCAAATTAGTAATGACCAGGAGAAAGAAGTTGAATTCCATATTGTACATTGTATTGAAGCATTATTCATAAATCAGGCATTGGATGTGGAAGGGAAGAACAGCAGGTATTATTAAATATCGTTAAAGCACTTTTGTACATGGTATTGTTAATTTTAGGATTTCATGCTCACAGTTGCCTAATATAGACAGTCGAGAGTTTGTAAGTAATTTTCTGATAGTTTATTAACTTTGTTAAGCAATAGCAATTTAGATATGATACATTAGTTAATTAGATAAAGAAATTATACAACTGTGACAATTGGGGATGGTTCACTAATATGTAAGGACTAACAGATTGTCAGGGTGGAATGCTTCAATCTCATTAAAGTGGTGGGGGCAGCACCCTACTCTCGAGCCAAGCCGTTGGGGAACTCTTCTCTCGGTCTTCCTCCTCTCAATCTACTCTGTCTTCCATCTGCCTGGTGTGGACTGCCTGATGGGAACTGCTGTCTACCAAGTCTGCTTGGTCAGAACTCCTCAACAAGAATTTCCCTCTGCCCTGAACAATTATTCTTATATATTTCCAGGGTCAAATTATTTTCTTTGTGTCAATCAATTATCTGAACACTTTAGCCCAGTGGCCATTGGACTGTTACTCATGCTGTTTGATGGCCATTGACCCCTTGCCTGCCTTCATCTGAGGGTTGGTTTTAATTCCTTTTAAGAAGAAATACTTATTTTTGAAAATAACAGATTGATAATAGGGTGCATTTGGTGCCAAATAAACCGTTGATGCTAGTTCAATGCGCATTGTGACCTGTTTTGATATGCTAGAATTTTAAAAAGTACTGCTGTAATAGCTTTTAAATGAAATATCATGCTACATGGTAAATACTAGGAAAATTCATTTTTTAAAGGACCCCGATATTCAACAATATTTAGAACTTTTATATCCATTTAAACTATAAATAAGTAATTTGGAATACTGCAGTCATTTACAGAGTTTGCTGCGGAGGTTTTCTTGAACATGTACATCAGTTGTTTACAAAACCCAATGAGTTGCAGCCACAGATTGTGTAATGTGGGAAATTAGTTACTGCTTAATTTGTAATCAAGCTCAGCCTTGAATAAGTTCAATGTCTCCAGTTACCACTGGTCTATGGGGAGCAGAATTCCAAACAAACAATCAGTCTAGTAGAGCATGATGTGGTTTTGACCAGAATTACATATAAAGAATGGCCAACAGAGTGACTGTGGAGCTGAGGTAGCTCAAATTTACAAAAGTGACACAATCAGCCTGTTTAGGCATTCAACAGGATCACAGTTGTTCTGCCATCCTACTCCCTACATCTACCTTTGCCTTATAACCCTTAATACAGTTACTCTGATAACAAAAGCATCCAATTGATCTCAGGTTTATAAGTTACAATTGATTGTCAATTGAAAATCAATGGTCATTTGCAGATGAGCGCTCTAAACTTCTGCCTAATTTCACTCTTAAAAATGTCTGCACTTATTTTTGGATATGGTCCTTAATCCTAAATTCTCAAAACCAATGGAAATTGCATAGATAAGAAATGCTTTGTTCCTCTTATTATCTTGAATAATATTGATCAAATCACTACGTACCTTTTAAATTCCAGAGGTGTGCTTAGAGTCTTGACATTATTTTGGCAAATGTTCAATGCACTCTCTCAAAGGCCAATATATCCTACCTAAGGTGTGGTATGAAGAACTGCCCACAGTACACAGGTGTGGTAACGAGAGACTTTCTACAGCTACTGCATTGATTTGTACTCTCCTGCACTTTAATCCTTTGGATTTAAAGGCCAGAATTCCATTAGGCTCTGGATTCATTTTCTGTACCTATTCATGAATATCCAATTGTTTATATAGTTGGAGACCTTTATCTCTACCTCAAGTCTTGGTGGACCTCCATTTAAAAGGTATACTGTTGCAGTCCGAACATGATCTTACACATTCCTACACGGAAATACATCACCAATTAATATATTAACATCTTTTTACAATTTTATGCTCTGTCTATTCTGCTTACAATGCTGCCCATCTTTGTCTCTTCAGCAAATTGGACTATGTAGCTTTCTGTCCCAAAACCTAAATCATTAATAAATTCTGGAAATAGTTGAGGCCCAAAACACAAATCTTTATGGCATACCAGTGGTCATATCATAATTGAACAGGCCGTGGCAAAAATAAATTGCTGCTACAGTTGAAGCATGCCAGTATATTGGAAGTTCTAAGCAGCTGCAGTTGTGATTGATATGATTTCAACCAGAGTTTCTGTTATCAGCTCCAGTATCATAGTTGTGGAGAGTAAACCACTGCCTGTTAATTGTTGCAAGCCATGCAGAAAAAGCTTTACTACCCTGCAAATTATCAGAAGTCCGTGGTCACAGGCAGGGTCAGAAAGGAGAAATCCCTCGCCCTCAAATAAGAATCATACTGAAGTCAAAATATGGTAAAGACATAACTATGTTAACAAAACACATTTGACCATTTCACCTACAGCTTAGAAAAATCAAAATCCTGACAAGTTTCACATTTGTGTCACAACTGTTTAATCGGAGAGTTGAAAACATTTCAGCTCTAGAAATGAAACGTTAGAAGCTTCTGATTTTATTCAGACTATTGTGACATCGAAATGTACAGTGGTTCCAATATATTTCAGAGCTCTACATTGTTTTGCACTCAAATTCTACAAGTAAAATTGGTCTACTTAAGATAATTTGAAAGTTACCACAGAAATTCAGGATTCTAAAAATTATTTCAACACTTCATCCCAGCTGAAACAGCTGGTAATACAGTCTATTTCTGAACAAAATCGTTTCTGCTCTCAAACTAACCAAAATTAAGCAATCTAAATACAGTAAAATTTGTATTATTCAACAGCCCACAATCCGAATGCTTCACTATTGAAATCTTGGATGTCTATTTCCCAGGCACTGTCACCAGCTAAGATGCCAATCTCACTAGTCTGAAGTGATTGTAAAATAACTGGCTGATGGCTGAAGTAAAGTTTTCCCTTTGTGTTTATAGAGAGGAGAGTCAAAAAGTAGAAATGTCCTAAAGCTGCATACAATACAGTATCACAGTATTCATTAAGACATGTTTTTCTTCGATTTCTATTACAACAAATTATATTTTGTTTTAAAAGAATTTGCAATCCCTGAACACAGTGCATTCCAAATAATTTGAATTTTACTGGAATATAGCAAACACTTAATTTAGTGCTACTTTTCTTAAAAAAAAATCAGTTAAAGACAAGATAGAGATATACAGAACATTCAGGTTTCACTAATTTTCTCTCACCAAAAGCACATTTTCAATTCATGTAAAAGCTAGTTTTCATTTCTCATACCGTAATACTTTTCTCCGGATAACTGGTTTTCTCTTGCTTTCACAGGGCACTTCAGGGCTGCTTGTGCTGATCTCAGACTGCGCTGGACTGTCATAACTCTCCTGATTTGGAATGTTCTGAAGAATCAGCCTAGTTGGTGCTGATGTACATCTAAATGGATTTGAGGCTACTGAGAATCTGCTATATGCATCACAGTGATGAAATTCATTAGGATGACCATAAAAAGTACCAATCCCACTTCTATGTGATGACTGCAACTGGGAAAGAATACATGAATTAAAAAAAAGGTTGTTTATACACTATTTCATCTACAAATACACAACGATTGAGTATTAGTCTAGGCCTCAGGATACAACCGAAACTGTCTACCTGAATCTTCTTGATGTTGGAAGGTTCATAGATTTTCTTCCAATACTTACCTTTTCCCACATAATGAAATTATTGATGAGCAAAATAAAGTTTTGCCACTTCATTAAGGTCAGTTAATAATGAAGGTTTTTGAGTAGATTTGTAGCTTGGGTTGTGGATGTTGTGGTTGGTTGGCCCACCAAGCTCGTTTGTTGTTCCGCAGATGTTTCTACCCTGCTGGGTAACATCATCAGTGCAGCCTCCGATGAAGCGGCTGTTAAATACCGCCTGGTATTTAAACTCTGGTGTCCGTTGAGCTGGGTTACCTCACTTCCGGTTTTCCTTCTCAGTGGTGTATACATAGGGTCTAGTTCTATGTGTTTGCTGATGGCCTTCTTAGTGGAGAACCAGGCCTCTAAAAATTCCTGTGCTCGTTTCTGCTTGGCCTGTCCCAGGATCCTGGTGGTGTCCCAATCAAAATGGTGGTTTTTTTCTTGTCCATGTAGATGGAGATGAGTATTGGTCGTGTCTTTCTGTTGCTAGTTGATGTTCGTGTACTCTTGTGGCTAATTTTCTTCCTGTCTGTCCAATGTAATGTTTGTCGCAGTCTTTGCAGGGGATCTTGGTATATTATGTTGATAATATACCAAG